AGCTCTTTGCCAGCTCTGTGCTGATGACCTGCCTGCATATATGCCTCTTGTCCTCCTAGCAGCTCTATGAAGTAGAGGAGCCAGGGAAGTGCCCTGCCAGGGCCTCCCAGCCAGGAAGTGGCAGAGCCATGAGTCAAAGCCAGGAGGAGCAGGACCCAAACCCCTGCTCAGAGCCACCGTGCCACACAGCCTCAGGCGCTCTGTCCTTGGCCGGGGCGGAACCTGCCTGTGGCCTGGCTTCCCTGCCTGCTTCTGCGCAGACGCAAGGCAGGCTTCCCCTTTTCTCCCTGCGGGGAGGGGCTTTCCTCCGGAGTGGGCACGAGGCTCCTCCAGCTCCTTCTAGTTCCTAGTCCTGTCAGGAGGCCTGGGATCCTCCTCAAGCGATGCCCCATGCCACAGACAGAACAGTGATGTCTTCCAAAATTCAACCGACCCCCCCAGTGTGATGGCATTAAGAGGTGGGGCCTTTGGGAAGTGCTCAGGTCAGCAGGGCGGAGCCCTTATGAATGGTATTACTGCCTCCTGAGAGAGAGGAGAGAACTCTCTTCCTCTCTGCCATGTGAGGACACAGTGAGAAGACAGCCATCTATGACTGGGGAGCGGACCCTCAACAGACATTGGATCTGCTGGCACCAAACAGACCTGTGTTGTTATAAGCCACCCAATCTACGGTGTCTGCTACGGCAGCCCCAATGGACTAAGTCATCAGGACTGGACCCTGGAACTGCTGAGGTCACAGCTGAGAAGGCAAAGGAAGCGAGTCAGCTTCTCTGCTCAGGAAGCTCTAGGCCAGCCGTGAGCAAACTACGGCCTGTGGGCCGGATCCGGCTGTTTGAAATGAATAAAACTAAAAAAAAAAAAAAAAGACTGTACCCTTTTATGTAATGATGTTTACTTTGAATTTATATTAGTTCACACAAACACTCCATCCATGCTTTTGTTCCGGCCCTCCGGTCCAGTTTAAGAACCCATTGTGGCCCTCGAGTCAAAAAGTTTGCCCACCCCTGCTCTAGGCTCTCAGCCCTAATGGGACCAGCAGTGGGCAGAGGCTCCGGAGCAGGGACAGGGGCACCTCAGGTCACCGTCTGCCCGGCTCACTGCAGCATCGCCAGGGCCCATCGGGCATGGCTGAAAGCCTCTTCCTTGGCTGAAAGCCTCTTCCTGTGCCCTGGTGACCCACCTGGATGACCTGTAGCACAGCTGATGTCCTGCCCCAGCACCAAAGGCATTTCAAATCAAGTCCTTTTGCTCCCCAGCCAGCCCCGAATTGGCCTGCCCCACCCTCCTCTTATAGATCCCAAACGTGCCTTTGCTGTTCATCACGTTAGGACACTGCCATCCTCGGCACTTGCCTGAGAGGTGGGGAGTGCTGTCCCCATTTAAGGGCGAGTGGCTTTGGACAAGCACGTAACCCGTCCGAGCCTGTTCGGAACAGGAGGATAAGAGCCTCCCTCCTTGGGCTGTTGTGCAGATGAAATGCACATACAGGCTAAGCCAGGGCCTGACAGTGCCGGTGGTGACTGTTCTGTGGGTATCTCAGCGACCCTGAGGCCACTCTGACTCCCTCTTTTCATCAGGTTGGGAAGAAATGAGGTGGACACATGCCCAGTGAGGGAGGAAGGTGTCCTGAGGAATGTACCCTGGCTCACAGGGCCCAGGGCATAGGTGGGTGGTCCCCAGTCCATGCGTAAGAGCCCTGAACAGAAAGGGCCTTCCTCTGAGGACCGCTGTGCAGAGGGCCTGTCACCCATAGGTTCTGACTCAAGTAGGGAACCAGTGTGGCCCAGGCCTGGCTTGTGGAAACGGGCCCACCTAGTCACGCAGCACCGCGGGAACGGATGTGCAGAGTTGCAACCAAGCTTGACAGCATCCGTAGGATTGACAAGGACCACAGCTGGGGTGCCTTAGGATCAAGGACGGCACATGTTCGAAATTCAGGATCACTACGTCTGGGTTGGGGATCAGGGACCTTGGGTTTAAGAGGCTCCCCTGGCTGACTCTGATGCCCATGGCCACAGAGGAAGGCTGCGCTGGAGAAGGCATCTCCTGCCACACCCAGCTCCTCTCCCAGCTCGTAGCTGAGTCAAGGAAATGCTTTCCACTGAAGCTGCTCAAGGCACCTTCACCTACCAGATCAAGTCCACATCCCAAGGTACTTTGAGAACTGCCCTCCCCTTATCTCCTGCCGCGTGCACAGGTCTTCAATAGTCATTCTCCAGGCTTATTTCTGCACGTGCTGTCCCATCCCCTAGGGCTGTCCTCCCCATGAAGGGCCTGGTAGGGATACTAAGATCAGGCTATCAATTGTCCTCTCCAAGGGCTGGCTGGACAACACCCGCCACCTCTTCCTCTCCCCTCACCCACAAGCCTGCAGAATGCTTCCGACACTCCTCAGCGATCATGACTCTTTAAGCCCAATCCTCCCCTCCGACCTAACTGTAAACTTAGGAGTCCACACCCCCCAGCTGCTCAGTCAAAATGTGGAGAGAGGATGGGAGGAAGAGAAACAAGAAAAGATCTTGTTACGAGCTCAGATGGCCTAAGGATGAGGAGAAGGCACTCCACTCTAGAACTGACCGGCCCGATGCCTACAATACAGAACTCTTGGGCAGGTGATGCAGCCTTAGAGTTCCAACCTGAGAACCTGGAACATGCAAGTACCCACCTCCCTGGCTGCCTGCACAGTTACATGGGGTAACCCAGGCCACGCGGGGAGAACGGTGCCTGGCACCGGTTAAACACTCAGTGGTCATAGCCATGGATGGTGACTATTACTCCGTTCTGGCTGCAGTGCTTCCCCAAGCCCCCTACAGGGCCCCTGGCACACGGCAGCTTCAGCAAGGGCTGAATGGACAAGACTGGCGCCAACCCTCACACTTTCAAATCCAGCCTCCCACGTACACACTCCAAAACCTGCCCTGGGCATGGGGTGAGGAGCGCGCAATCAGTGCTCCCTGCAGACCTGGGGAGTACGTAGAGGGGAGGAGCGTCCCGGCCGTGGATACCACCCACTCCAGGCCTCCTGGTTCTGGGCCAACTCGTGACTCAGCCCAGCGCTGGCCGCCTGTTTGGCGGGGATAATGACAGGGCAGCCGCTGGGGTCAGCGCTCCATCGCCGCGAGGCCCCCTCCCCTGGCCCGCCCAGGGGAAAACGAAGCCATCAGAATCCGGGACCCAGACCCCAAACCCTGGCCAGGCCCGTCCGAGAGGCCACGCTGGTCGCCCCAAAGGAGGGGGACACGGCGCCCGAGGGCCACCCAATGCCGGCTGAGGTCCTCACCTGGGATCTTGCGCTCCAAAGGAGAGGACCGGGGCTCCAGCGGCTGGAGGGGGCGCCGTGGAGATGTGGCAGGGAGGCACCAGAGCCTCGACCCGCAGCCTTCGTCCCTGCCCCGGGCCCCAAACCGGCTCCCCTCGTCCCGATCCGCCGCCCCGCCGGGTGTCTGGGCTTCTGGGTTCTGCCTCCACTGCCTGGTCAGCTGACCCCAGGCGCCGCCCCGCCCCCGAGCCCAGGCCCCGCCCCCTCCGCGCCGCGCGCCTTCGGACGGTCCCGGGCGACGCCGGCGGACATAGGGTGCGCGGAGGGACGCGACGCTTCTGGTCCCAGCT